CATACTTAGAGAATACAATCCGGAAATATTTTTATAATCCCGGTATTACGGGATTTTTCGACACCAATCCCGGGTTTATTTTTTAAATTGATAAAAACATAAAACAGATTAAAAAAAAAAAAAAAAAAAAACAATAGGAGCATATGTTTTGAAAATAAATTTGTTTTCATTATAATATAGATATATTTTAGATTCTAAGTGGAGCGAAGAAGATTGTGGTTTTACAAAGATATTTATTTTTTTTTCAGTGAACAACTTTTCTGTCAGAAAATTTGCTGAATTCAAATCGGTGAGAGGAGGTACTTTTCGATTTTCTCAGGAGTTTTCAACCATAAATGTAAAAAACCAGGAAAAACACGGGAAAAGCAAGAAAAACATAGAAAAAACGTGAAAATCGGTACATAAAACAAATATTATTAAAGATAAGATATAATGCCTATTTAATTATTTGACCATAATATGAAATATACATTGTTGAAAAATCATCAACTAAACTCCACTCAGAATCGTTTTTTCGTTAGCAATGGTTAAACGTTGCTAACAGACATACATTAAATTATCTATAAGAGTGGCTGCATCCGACCCTATTATTCTAGGACAAATTTTTTTAAAATAAAATTTTAACAACAAAATATTATGCATTACAAATAAAAAAAAAATAAAAAATGTTTTATTTAAAAAGAATATTTTGAAATTAAGATCGAAGAAACATCAGACCATAAACAGTCTTGTTTCCGATTTTGCTTCTTAATTTATTTCTCATGTATGAAGACGCTGAAAATGCACGTTCAGTTTCTATGCTAGTGAGGGGAATTGCCATTAGGTATTAAAATTATTGTTTTTTTATATATTTTAAAAATATTTATTATATTTATTTTTTTTTTTTTATATTACTACATCAAATGCTTAATCCCGAAAATCCCGAGATTAGTTATTTGTCAATCTCGGGATTTCCAGGATCAAAACACGATCGGGATGCAGAGACCATATTCTCTACCCATGCTCCTCCATAATAGATCGTGTGCAGATAAAAGTGAAGGAGATGAAGAATGAAACAACCAAAGAAACCAATTTTAATTTATATTTTCCAATATTGGTTTGACGATAAAATAAATAGTTTTCTAAAAATACTCACGACAAGCGACGCTATATTTTTCTATCGGAAATATAAAACCTAAATACTTAAAAAAACTAAATATAATAATTATTTATGACAATTTACTCAAAATCTTCGTATGGATATAATTGTTAGTCCATGATAAAAGCCTTTTTGGTATTTAAAGTAATATTATTTTTTTTTTCATTCCCAATTAACACGTCCACATAAACTGGTACAATTTTACTATCAATTTCCGTCAGCTTTATGTCGACGCTGTTTATTTATATATTTGTTTTTTTGTTTCTTGGTGAATATCTCAAAATCGGTAAGCATATATTAAGTATTGAAGACCGCAAGCACTGGGCAAGACCGACTTGATCCTTAAAAAGCTGTACAATATTGGACCGAGCCGGGGTCTCTGAAACATAAAATAGGGTTGGATCAGTTTTTAAAAGTTTTGCATTATTTTCGGGCGGGGTCAGGGCTTTTCTTTCGCAAAATATTTCGGACCAGAACGGACCAGGCTCAAAAGAAAATTGTTGGACCGGACCGAACATTGATGGTGCTTGCAGGTATATAATAAGTATGCCAAAACTACATTTTTGTAATAATTACCTCCGCTAATGAGCAATAATTTCCACCGAGTATGACAAAATACATTATATTTCTCCTTGTATCTTCCTATATCACGAAGAGTATCGTATGCATTACATTCTACAATATTATTATCTTGTACACGTTATGGTACGAATGTTTAAAATATGCATATCGCGGACGTCCATAGGAAATATATATTTTTTATTATCGTATCACATCTTTTTAAACTCCATTACAATATTATTATGCGCAATACGCTTAATGTTGCATTCTTGTGATTACTTATTTACGATTTTAGCATAATAATTTATATTATAATTGAATACATAGTGCACATTAGATAAATAACAGGAAACATAACATTTTTTTATTTAAGCGTTAATCTTAAATTTTATTACAAAATTTTAACTTTAACCGAACGTTCGCGAGTGCGCAAATAAGTAAATTATGTTCTAAGGTCCCGAAGGGGCCTCAGTACTAGCATTTCATGTACAAAATATAGTAAAAATGGCATTCGGCTTTCTTACGATTTCGACTCTCTAGTTAAGTTCACCTAGTTAGATCTAAAATAAAATATAATAGTATTTACTGTGGGCCTTTCAAATAATTTTTTAATATTTTTTATTGTTTATCAAGATATGCGTGTTTTAATTTTCTCATCATTTTAATCATCAATGCACATAGTTTTCGTGAAATTCATTCATAGTAAATACTACGCTTGATAAAATATATAAAGAAGTTCATCTGCCTTTTTTTTTTATTGGCTAGAATAATAATATATAATATCGAAAGTTTATTTCGGACTGGAAGATATGATAAAATAGGGGAAAAAATGTTTATTTTCAAGTGAAACGAAAAGTTTATATTTAGTTTTACACAATGATTCAATGATGACGTTTTTATTCACCAATTAACACCCCCATTGAGTAAATAATCCACTTGACCAATTTGAATAAGTTTTTTTTTACATTGCCTTTTTGTGTTAGAATAAACAAAAAGGGACAATTTTCTATTATGCATCAGTGATATAACATTACTCATTGCACGTACTTTTGATTTTTGTGCACGTATACAGAGTAATACATTTATTATGAACCAACGATTTTCTTAAGAGATTGATAATAAATATGATAGTAATATGATTCCTACTTTTTTATGATATAAGAAGTAGGAATAAGATATTTTTAAGTAGTGGCAAAATAAAACTTGAACGCTTCCATAATTTTATTATTGAAAAAAAAAAAATATAGAAATTAAATTCGCTTAAAACCCTACGAGAAAATTGCTGGTTCATGGTAAGTTAATCATTCTGTAGTATAGATTATTTTATTTTTTCGGATTTCTATTATATTCTTCGGACGAAACAATTATTATTTTAATGTCAATATAAAAGTAAAACTTCCGTTAACGGTCACCTTTATGTAACGGTAATTTTTTATTGATTCCATTATGGGAAAATACATATATAATAATGTGATATAATTAATATCTCTTTCTACATATCGAGCACTCTAAATAACGGTCAAAATATATAATAAAACAATAGAAAACATGCACAAATGTACATAAGAAATGTATAATATATATAAAATGCGTTGTTTGCCCAAATAATTTGTCGCAGTTTATTGTTTACAGCGTTATCATATTTTTACGATAACGTTATGAACACAGAAGATTTGTGTATGTTTCATTAGTTTTCAATGTCAGTTGACATCAGTTTTTTTCGATCGATCAAAATCTGAACATTGAAGAAGATATCAGTGATATCAATTCCATTCATCACTAAAGATAATGATGAGGAGCAATTCAATGAAGAAACCGAGGAAACCAGAAGAACTAAAGAACCCCATTGCAACATATCAAATTATCCAAATATTGTTAAAATTGTTAATCAAATAAAACAATTAGCTCTTTTCACTCTTCAAAAAGGCGACTTTTTAATTTAAAAACAACAGAAATTTGTTACGAAAAAAATTTTTAAAAATTACAAATTTAAAATAAACTAATCCTTCTCAATACTGATCCTAATTTAACTTTATATTTTACATTCCACATGTACAAGTATTGTATGAGTGTGTAATGAGTATATATATGTATTTATAAGTAAATAACTCTTCAGTGTTGAATACTTTGTTATAAATAAGTACAATCTGTACTAAATGCATATTATTGTGTACTTGGTTTTTTTTTTATCCACTCTATATAGCGGTCATTTGAAAATAATACACTTCTGTTAATGGTCACCTCTAAAGAGCAGTCATTATTACCGGTCATTTAGTAACCGTTAGATGGATATTTTACTGTACAATATAATATTAAAGAATATTAGTTTTTTGTAATAGTACTATTCTTATATGAACATTTTGTTATAAGATAATATTTTAATAAAAATCCAACACTATTTTTCAAGTTAATAGTGTAAACTACATTTGAAAATCTGAACAAGTGTTCTAGTAGAAAAGTTGCGCGCAGATAATAAGAATAAAAATACATTCCTGTAAAACCATAAGCTTCTTCGCTCCATTTAGAATATCCTATACTTATATTATAAATGCAAAAGTTTGTATGTTTGTGAATTTGTCTGTCAATTAAATTTTAACGGCTGGACGGATTTCGATGAAATTTCTTATGGAGATAGCTAATACCTCGACTAAGCACATAGGCTATCTTTTATTAAGCAGGACCATAAAATAATTAAATTTGGGTTTCCAATACATACTTTAGAAAAAATCAGGTTCATATACTGTTGATGTTGATTTATTTATCTTTGTTTATTTGTGGGTTATCTTGGTGATATCAATAGATGATTGGTATCTATGGATGTAACTTATAACCTTCCTATGTTTGTGATACTATTGTCTGAGCAAAGCATTGCCGGGTCAAAGATTTAAGGTTTCTTGAAAATTTAAAACATGCCAGAAAAACGTAAATCAAACACCAACAAATATGAGATCATGCGGTGTCTCAGCAGAGACTGAGCAGGAAGCGTTGGCTCACCAAAAACGTACTTTTGCTAAAAAGGGCGCGCTTCGACGGCTAAAAAACCATTAGCTACATATTATAAGATTCAACCGTTATCGCGGGAAAATCGAGGCGGCTAATAGCTATATAAAATAAAATTAAACATATTTTACGTTACAAAACTATCCACGGGTGAATCCGAGTAATACAGCTAGTAAATAATAATATTATAAACATGATATTGACGACCAAATAAACAGATTATGTTCAAAAAAAAAATCCGTGAACGTTAATTAAATTTTATTAGGTTCTATTAGGTATTTAGATTGTGTTTGATGACAACATGGTTCACGATACAATAATATGTATCAAGAATCTAGTACCACGGGAAACCTCTGAGAACATCCGATACCAAAACTTTGCAGATTCGCCGGTGCTCTGCAACTATGACAGACTGTGCATTATATTACATGGAACCACCGGTAAGGAAGTATCAGAGTATCAGCAGCAAAATCATTTCACTGTTCACCCCGTACATCATATTACCAGAACCATGACTTCAAATGATGACAAAATACCCAATAAATTCGATTCTCCCGGTTTGTCCGTGGCACAGGAGAACGAGGTACCAGCGGTGGTGGAGCAAAAAGACAAGATGACGATGGTGATGGTGCAGAATAACGGAGTGTCAGTGGTATCGGCACAAAAGGACAAAATGCTTGTGACACAGAAGGATGAGATGCCGGCGACACAGAAGAATGTGTCAACGACACAGAAAAATAAGGTGCCGGTGGCACAGAAAGAAAAGGTACCGACGACACAGAAGCTCTCGAATGTTCCAATCGTGGACCCTGCTGAAAAAGAAGAGCGCGGACGTAGAGAAAACGTGACCGTGGACCTTGCAGGAAAAAAATCTGTCCGTTGCGTAGATTTTAAGAGCATTGTAAAGCTGTCAAGACTGTGCTACATTTTAAACTCAAATGTAATGGAATTAAAATTGTTTTACGAGAACAAGGGTTATTCGTATTCTAAGGCAAAATATGTCACCTTTGAACCGGAACTCCGATCGCTGGTAAACGATATGCCAAAGCTGTTGAATATATTGAACGAAATCAGTGTACACCGTGATAAAATCAGGTTAGTGGTTGACATCTACAGTTCTTACGAGTCCCGGTACAGGGAGCTCAGGAGGATCTGTTCGATGTGTGCGAAATCAAGCCAAAATACCGGCCGAGCGCCACGTAATGACGAAAAATACGGTCTGAGTACAGTCATCAAAGAGTACGCGTGCGAAATATTCAACTGGTGTTGAATAGTGTTCGGTACTATACCGTGAAAATGATATGAAAGAGATCAATAAATTATAAAGACTTTTTATTTTTTTAAATTTTCTTTATTGAAATACAAGCGTTTATCAAAATAGTCGGCTAATATTTTCGCGGGTTTACGGAGCTTAGAGCTATGCAAGTTTTCTTTTAAACCATACTACTCGATTAATATTTGTCATCTAAAATTCCATAACAAGGGTAATATAATTAAAAATGTAATTCGTGTAGGGTGGAGTTACCATCTATGGCCACCTTAAGAATATTTTCAAACACTTATCTCTGTTATTTTGTCCACGGTTATCGAAATCAATTGTAAATGTAACCGTCTATACTATACAACTGGCTCAATACTTAGTCATATTTCTTATGAAAAATACAGTATGAGATATAATTTTTACTTTTTTAAAAGTTCATTTTCATCTTCTCTGGTCATTCTATGCTATCCATATGTTTATAATAATTGTTACCACCCAGATGAATACAAAAATAACCATATGGGGTATCAAGTTACTATTACGAATGAGTGGCCATAGCAGATATAATGGCCATAGGTAATGACTCAATTCTATGTACATAAACTAAAACTAAAGCTTAACTGACTGTTGAAAAATTAATAAGTTTTGGGTGTTTTATAAGTTAAAGGGTAAGCCATGAATAGCTAGAGCAGCAGACATTAAAAAAGCAAATACCTCTACAAATCATATAGCAGAAGATCAAGTTTAGGTTAAATAATACCAAAACGTCTTAAATTCTCTATAAAATCAAATATTTTTCCTAACAGGACATGTGGAATGGTTTGAGATTGTCCAAGGCTAGTCACAAAATATGACAGCTATTCGTTTCCCAATGAAAATATAAAGGATTGAATTCCCATTTTCATGTTTCTTCCATTCAAATTTTAATAGTACCTACATAATATCATATTTAGGTCTTATTAGGAAGGTTAACCATGATTAAATAATAAATAATACATATATTATATTATTATTTAATAATTCAAAAAAAATATAATTTTTTTTTATTTTTATTTTATTCATTAATTAAATTACAAAGATATAAATTACACACATGAGTATTTTGATTAACTTACCTCTATAAGAAAAGCTTGTGGCGAGGTAAATAAGTACAACAAGTGGCTTGTACTTAAAAAACTAGTTATACTAAAATAATCAACTAAACATATTACTGAAAACAGAACATAGACAAAATGGTGAAATGAAAGCTTTACGGGGAATTTTTTTTTTTTTATATAATATTTATACATAAATAACTAAATATAAAAAATTTGCTTATGAAGACAAGAAATATGATGTCAAGCTGTCGGCTAACACTAGAAATACAATTATATACTCATAATACTGAGGGCAGTAGGGGAAAGGTAACAAAAAAAATTTTTGTTTTGGAGATATTTTCAATATTCAAACTTTCAAAAAGTATATATATATAAGCAGTTTCATTTAATTTTAAATATTGTTTCTCATATTATGATATACATATAATTGAAAAGTATTTAAAGACAAATTGAGATAGGACAAAGTGACACAATTATGTTACTTATGCTCACTTACTCGCAGACTTATTTTGTATGATATATGTATTTGTTGTTGTGAGTTGTTTGTTAACTTTTAATATTAATCATCAACCATCATTGTAACATCTCAATTTAAAAAAAAATTAATCATAAATACAATATATTATACTAAATTATTAACTTAAGACATTTACTCAATGTACAACTATCAATTTATAAGTACGGTAAAACTTCCATATAATGTAAACAAAAGAGATCAGAAATAATTATCGCTATTTAGAAAGGGCCATTCTATAGAGGTGAACGTTAACAGAAGTGTATTACTTTCAAATGACCGCTATATAGAGTGGATAAAAAAAAATCAAGTACACAATAATATGCATTTAGTACAGATTGTACTTATTTATAACAAAGTATTCAACACTGAAGAGTTATTTACTTATAAATACATATATATACTCATTGCACACTCATACAATACTTGTACATGTGGAATGTAAAATATAAAGTTAAATTAGGATCAGTATTGAGAAGGATTAGTTTATTTTAAATTTGTAATTTTTAAAAATTTTTTTCGANATATGTTGCAATGGGGTTCTTTAGTTCTTCTGGTTTCCTCGGTTTCTTCATTGAATTGCTCCTCATCATTATCTTTAGTGATGAATGGAATTGATGTCACTGATATCTTCTTCAATGTTCAGATTTTGATCGATCGAAAAAAACTGATGTCAACGGACATTGGAAACTAATGAAACTTACACGAATCCTCTGTGTTCATAACGTTATCGTAAAAATATGATAACGCTATAAACTATAAACTGCCATAAATAATTTGGGCAAACAACACACTTTATATTTATTATACATTTCTTACGTACATCTGTATATATTTTCTATTATTTTATTTCATATTTTAATCGTTATTTAGAGTTCCCGCTATAAATAGGTTTTTATTATATTATTTTATTTTATGTATTTTTCCTATAACACATGATGTGACCAAAAAATTTACCGTTACATAGAGAAGACCGTCAACGGAATATTTACTGTAATAATACCCACAGCATTAGTATTAACGTTTATACAAAAATATTCTTTAAGTTTATTATAAACAATTGAACGGATTAGCTGCAAGATTATTATATTTTTTACACAAACATAATATAAATCTGTGGCTTGTTGTAAGAAAAGGTAATTTCAGAAAAAAAAAAAAAAATGTAATACAATAATATTGAAGACTTAACGTTACATTTTTAGTAAGTAAATCAATTTTTTTCATCTGTCGATTTTCAATATTTAATTTTCAGTTGAAAAATAATAATTAAAATTCATTTAGTCACGATATTTCCGAATTTGGGTCCGATAATGTTTTACTTTTATGCGAAGTTTGAGGCAAAAATAAATATAGTATACACAGTTCAAAATTAACCACGTTGTATTTACTTTACCAATGTATAAAATTGCCGCGAATCCAATAAATGACTTCTCCTCAAGAATTTTTTGATTTTTTAATTTTTTTTAAAAATGCCACATTCCAATTAATTAATTATCTTATAAACTACATATATATATAAATGTAACTTTTCGAGTTATAAATTCAATTTTAACAAGAAAGTTTTTCTGATGATGTTCACAACATTTTATAAATTAAAAATGTGACCTACTTCATGGAATTTGTTTGATCCTCATCATACTATATTGGAATATTTAATCCTTTAATATTTTGTTCTTAAAACGCACGGGGAGCAATCTCGGGGAGGGGGGAATCTCGGCACTCGGCCACCACCCGAGAATATGCGCATTTTTGCTTCGTTCGCAAATAAATCCGCGGTTTACTAACCGTCTAGCACTACGAGGAATTCTGCACCGTCATGACGGACCGCATAATCGTGCAGATTGTCCGACAGATCTAGGAAATCGCTAGGGGGGTCGAAGTAGAAACTTAATTCAACCTCGGTCCCCTGGTCATGGTTTTGCTAAATACATATAAAATTATAATTACAAATTGCAACAGTGGTCCATCTATGATGTGAAATATGTATTTTTGTTTTTTATATAATAAAAAATAAATAAATATATATTCAGATTTATTTTGGATGGTTCATTGACTTGTTTAGCTTATTAGTTTGATTTTATTTAGTCTTTTTGTTGTATACAGGATGATACATACCTATTAGATTCTGAGCGTAGCGAGGAATGTATTAGTTTTACAATGATGTATATTTTTTTTTTTTATGTTAACACTTTGTCTACCAGAAAGCTTACTTCGATTACCTAGTATAGCATCTTTTCTGAAAGGAAATATTCTCTGATTGGTACTTTAAAGACGTAATTTTTTTTCTTCTTTTTTAAATTCTCATTAACATTCGAGATAATGAGGAAAATCTGGTTCTCTACGATAAAAAAGATTGAAAGATTAAAAATAAGGTTGACATTGGTAATTCGTTTTTATTTATTTTTGTAATTACTAAGTTTTTATTATTTCAAATTTTTTTAATTAATCATTGTTGTCATGGAAACACACATTGTTGTAATCATTTCATCATAATATGACATATATATTGTTGACAACACTATCAGCTCAACTCCGCTCAGAATTGTTTATTCGTTAACAATGGTTCATCATTGCTTACAGGTTAAACTCCCGTCTGTGTCCTACCTTCCCAACTTCCCACCCACAAAATTGGGTGCACCCATGTGATAAGTATTTTTTGATTAAATTTTGTATATTTTGGAATTTTGATTTTTGGAATTTGTAAGTGTAGTTAAAGCCGATATTTTCGAATACTTAGATATTTCATAACGTTTAATGAGTATGAGCTTCAACAAATAAAAAAAATTATTATTTATTTCGTGATTTACTCTGCCTCTATTTGCTCCAAGCATATTTTATTTTGATCAATTATTTTTTCTAAATACTTTTGAAATACTGTTATATAGTTAGGTTTTACGAATTCAAAATGTATAACATTTCATAGATTGTCCGATTTAAAAGATTAAATACTTAAATAAATGAATACTTATAATTTTGAAAAATTAATAGCACTATTGTACTTATTAAATTATACTATTAAATTAATAGTAACATTCTGTAATATTTTTCGTAAAATTGTTAGGATTTGTTAAAATAGTTTTCTGTAAATTCAAGAAACACTAGTTGAAGTTAAATTTTAGGAAAATATTTCGGTTTTTAAGTGTAATATCTTTAAATCTAAATTTACACAAACATTGTATTATTATAGATTTGAATATATTTTCTAAAAAAAATATTTCTTACTAAATTATATTACATAAATACCAATTCGTTGTATTCGTCAGCAATGGTTTATCGTTGCTTATAGATATACATTAAATTCCCGTCTGTATCCTACCCTTCCAATTTCCCATCAACAACAGTGGTTGCATCCGTCCAAATTATCTTATAACAGCTTTTTTTAATTATGAATTTATTTT